GTTTTTTTTGATAATGTTGAATTTTCTGTCTATCGATTAGCACAAGCACTTGAACTTGTTTTAACTGTTGAGGATTTTTCATTATTGAAACGGCGATCAGGCGCTTTAATCAGAACTCTAATTAAATAAATGATGATAAATTGCTTTTGCATTAATTTACTAAATAATCAAATATTGTTTTCGTGAATGCAATTAGGAAAATTGCAATGTTAATTTTTTAACAATTAAATTGAACGGAATAAAGAGAAAATTCTATTGTCCAAATTGTAGCTATTTGAAATATGGGAAAACAGAAGTATTCATATGCTATATTATATTCGTAAAATATATATATACGCCATTAGGACATGAGGAACACCTAATGCAATCTGAGAATAAACACGAAAACTTATTAAGAGATTTATGAAAAAAAAAATTGTATAAAAACAATCCAGAAAGGAAAGAAAAAAGCGCAAAGATTATAAGTTGTTGACAATAGAAATAACGATCAATTTTGTACATAATTTATCAACACATCGATGTACATCACGTCATAAGGAATCTATATGTGAGCAGGTACATTTGGTGGCGAGAAGAGAAGAAAACCGACTATGTATATAACAACCATCAACAAAAGCAGCCGTAGGAAATCTTTAATACATCATGATCCTTTTAATTTTCTTTTCTATTTTCTATTATATAATAAGTTATGCTATGATTCCGTATATTATTATAACAATATGTTTTTTGCAACGTTGAAATTTACCTTATAATTTAAAAATTTTATATTCATTTTTTATTATGGTTAAGTAATAAATCTTGACAACGCAGTCTTATGTACGTTACTAAAACAATACGATGAGTTATTTATTTTTCAATAAGAGGAAAGTAAGTTTTGGGAGTTGAGAATTCGGAGTCTTCCACGAAAAGTTATGGCTCGCAAAAAAGCATAGGCAGGGCAGGGTACATAATATCTCAGAGCAGAGTATCAGCTCATGTGGCAAAAAAGCTTGTCACGGGCATAGCTCTTTGCGCGGTAGAGCGTTCACAAATTTATACAGGTATGCTGGGCTGCGTGACAAAAAAAAAAAAAATTAAAAACGAAAACAAGAATAAAGATTTTAACTTTAAACAAGGTAAAAAACAAAGGAAAGGTCCAATCAAACCCTTAATGAGTTCACACTGTGTAAGTCCGTTTGTGAGGTTTGTTGTTCGCACTGTACGCGGTTCGTTGGTCCCTTCTTAGTACGTCAATAACCATTCCCAATCTTCCTACCTTCAGCCGAGCGTACCGCTACCCATACTTCGCTTCAGCGATGGAGTATTCCGCTTAGCTACACATTTTTAGCCAAGCAACTTTAATTTTTATCCTTTTTGTCGGCTTAACTAGTTACAATATTTATTTACTAAAAATTTCCGTTCTAGACTTTTCCTTATTTAATTTTGTGTTTAATTTTGTGTTTTCAACGATTCACACACCGATTATGGCTTTGGAAAAAAAATGTATGCAAATATTCTACTAGGACTTGTTTTATTTTTATATTGGATTATGCTCGGCTTGTCAACGAAAATTTCTTTATAAAGTTACAGTTTATATCCAAATCAAAGTTCTTAAATTTAGCTTGTTATTTATACATACATTGATGACAAGAATGAACTCGATGCCACTGTCTCCTTCCTTACCCACGGTATATTGTTATGATTCTTTGTTGTTTCTAAATTTGCATTGATGATAGATGGATGATAGGCATAATAGCGTCACTGAACGGATTGTAGGCTGATATAAAATAGTTTGGGGAAAAAGAAATCCATTATTTTTATATGAACTTTAGGACTTTATTTAACATGCTTCGGATTGTCCGATTTGGGTCAAATATGCACCGTTTTGTTGTATGATTTGTTGCCATTTTAAAGGCAACTTCAAAATGCCTCTCTCATAGAAGTCCTGGTCTCTATTTGCAAAAAACTCTAGAAGTCGATTTTCACAAACCTCCCTAGATTCCAATTTTTTATCATTAAAGAAATTTTGCAATGCAAGAAAAAGATGATAATCGCTTGGTGCCAAGTCCGGACTGTATGGCGGATGCATTAAAACTTCCCAACAAAGCTCCCGAAGTTTCTGGCGGGTCACTGTAGATGTGTGTGGCTTAGCGTTGTCCTGGTGGAACACGACACCTCTCCTGTTGGCCAATTCTGGCCATTTCTGGTCAATCGCTATTTTCAAACGGTCCAGTTGTTGACAGTAGAGATCAGAATTTAGCGTTTGGCCATTTGGAAGCAACTCATAATAAATAATTCCTTTTCAGTCCCACCAAATGCATAGCAAAACCTTCCTGGCCGCTGGAGGTGCTCCACAGCTCTTTGACCACGATCGTTTTCGCACAGGGTTATCGTATGTGATCCATTTTAGAAATGGATCCGTTTAAGAAATGGATCTATCTCATTCCGTTTGGCCAAGGCTTCGCAGATGGAAATTCGATCCATCATGTTTTTTTCTGTTAATTGGTGTGGCACCCAAACATCGAGCTTCTTTTTGAATCCAGCTTTGTGTAAATGGTTTAAAACTGTTTTATGGTCGATTCTTAGCTCCTGGGCGATGTTTAGACTGCTAACATGCCGGTCAACTTCGATCATTTCTCCGATTTTATCGACATTTTCGAAGACTGGCCTACCTGTGCGAGGTGCATCTTTAACATCAAAAATTCCTGAACGGAATCTACGAAACCAAAATTGCACATAATTGGCTGTTACAGTATCGGAACCATAAACACCATTCACAATTTTAGCCGCCTGGCTTGCATTTTCGCCTTTGTCAAAGAAAAACTGTAAAATGTACCGAATTTTCTCTTTGTTCACTTCCATTTTTAACACGCTGTAACTCACAACTGAATGCACCAAACAAAAAACAGCAAAAGAATTTTTTTTACTGCGAAATGTACAGTATGTAAATGTACAGTATCGGAAATTGTTTGATCGATACTTTACGAGAAATCTATCAGTGCAGCCATCTACCGAAAAAATAATGGATTTCTTTTTCCCCAAACTAATACAAGGACTTGCTAAAAATCTTTGAAATAACACCACATCGCTCGACAGCACAACATGTAAGTACACATGATGGAATTCCGTCAGGTCCAGGCGCACAAGTATATTTTAGAGAGCTCAACCCAAAAACGTCATTTTCACAATAGTTTGCTGATAAATCGAAATTAGCAGTCGAAAAATTTTGTCGGAAGTATTCCGCAAAGAGGTTTGAGTTCTCAATATCATCCGAGTACTTAAAGCTATTAAAAGAAACATGCGAGAGATTTATGGAGATTTTTCTTTTGAAATTAACGAACTTAAAAAAGTATTTGGGATAAGCAAACAAAGAGGATTTAACAAATTGAAGGTATCTGCAATTATATTGGTGGTTGAGGGGATTAAATCTATGCGAGTAAGCGTAATAGTCGAAAGAAGAACCATTTTTCGAAGGGAACTACAGAGGCATAGCCAAGCTGAGTGTCTTGCCTAAACTGTTCGAGCGAATTGTGATTCAGCATATGGTCTTTGATATCAAATCGTATATTTTTCCTCTCCAACACGGCTTTCGGAAAGGGCGATCTACAGTCACCAACTTGTTGTAGTTTACCTGTCATGTTTTTAAGGCTTGTTCTAGTGGCTCTCGCACTGATGTCATATACATTGATTTTAGGGAAGCGTTTGATTTGGTTAACCATAAACTACTCATCTTTAAGCTCCAAGCCCCTAGCTTCCCTTTCTTTTTATTGGAAGGGTTAAGCTCTTATCTGCACAATAGATCCTTCAGGGTTTTGTTTAACTTCATCATCTCGGATGAATTCCCCGTGACGTCTGACGTACCTTAAGGCAGCCACTTAGGATCCATTTCATTTAATTTATACATTAATGAGTTGCCCTTGGTGTTTAAATCCAGTGAGATCTTAATATATGCGGATGATGTGGAACTGTTTTCTTCTTTTTCCGTCGAATCGCAATCACATCAGCTTCAAAATGACGTGGATAATTTTGTTGCATGGTGCTCTTTGAATCTTCTGAAACTAAATCCGAGTAAATGTAAGAAGCTTTTTTTCTCAAGGAGAAAGTCATTCATTACTCAGTATTTCATTGATTCGCACAAGTTGGAGGACGTCGATTCGGTCACAGGTTTAGGCGTTCTATTTGATTATAGGCTACGTTTCAATTTGCATATTGAGCTCTCTTTAAGCAAAGCTAAGTCCGCGCTTGGTTTTATAAAGAGGTGGCCCAAAGAGCTTGATGATCCTTATATTACGAAAAGGCTGTACATGTGTTTGATTAGACCCGTACTTGAGCATGCCTCTGTTGTGTGGTATCCTTCATATAGGCGTTATGTAAATTCAATTAAATCTGTTCAAAAACAATTCTTGCTGTTTGCCTTCAGGAATTTGGGTTGGGACCCGATTGCCTCTCTTCCATCCTATGAAAATAGGTTGCTTCTATTATTCTTACCGTCACTTGGTGAGATCAGCTTTAGTGCCCCTAACCGCTTCTCTAGACACTTTATCTTGATTAAACTTAGCCAATGTAAATACAATTATGAGCTGTTTAACCCGCTCAGAGTTGTTTGGAGAAACCTAAATGATGTCTGTCACTTATTCTAGTTTTCGGACTCTTCAAAATCTATTGAAACAACTTTGCTTAATATGCGCGATTTACCTATGTCGTATTTAAACTAAAATTTCATTCTTAATATCTCATTTTTTATTTATATAAAATAATATTGTTTTGTTAACGTGTTGGTTGCGAAGCTTATGCATGCCTGCAATGGTTTAGGCGTTCACTTGCAACCTGGATCTGTTCTTGTGGTGGGTGTGCTTCTGTGTACATGCTTTTTTTCCTTTTTTTTTTTCTCTCTCTTTTTATTTATTTATACATGAATTATTATTTTTAAATTTTTAATTTATTTTTAAACTTACTTTGTTATTATTAATGTTCTTTTTTCTCCCTTTTTATTGTATAATATCTTTAAAACAATTGGCATAAGATTTTCTATTAAGATGCATTGGATTCGACTGTAATTTTCTTTAGTTGAATTTCATGTATAAATGGGTAAAATAAAATAAAAAAATAAAATTAATAATACACATTTTTTTTTCTTTGACACGGATGGTCATTACTCACTTTCTCTTAATATATTTATTTTTAATTCAGTTCAAACATCAAACGCATAAAAATCGTCCAAACAGGAATGAGCTTTGTTTCGTAGTTAAGACATGTGTAGATGATTCAGTCGTGGTTGGGAAAGAGTTTGGAAAATTTTTGTTTTTCGATTGACTTCATATTGGTTTTTTGTCTACTGTAGAAATGTGTGTCCTCTTGTTAAATATTTTTATTTTATTACCAATTTTTTTGTTTATATGAACTATTATCGATGTTTTTTTCATCTACATCGGGATATTCACATATATCGTCTTTATACTGTAGTGTGACTACATGTCCTTGCTGATATGCGTCCACCAGAAGTGCCAGAAGTCATATATTATTATTGTAAGCAAAATCTCTTTAGCAAAATAAAATAACAAAGTATGACACATTTCAAAACGCTTCGAGTTCCATTTTGCAAAAAAAAAATTAAATTCGAAGCTAAGCGACCCCATTGGCCAATTTCGCTGATTTCAGTATTCTTAGACAAATAAGATAAATGTTAAGCTAGGGAATAAGTATAAATAAGGAAAATTAAATAAAGGAAACAAAATTCTAAACCAAGCCTCTGATGCGTTTCATTCGCAAGCCTAATAGAAAGGGACTCTTCTAGCCAATACTTTCTATGCTTTGGAAGTATACAAAGGAAAGAAGACTTGGAGTACTGAAGCCGAGCAGTAGATGTGATCACACAGTTCTATAAGTACGGTCGTTGTCAGTGATAAACAAGATTTATAGGTAATTTCTGGTTTGACTTTCCGTCGCTGACACTTTGTTTATGTACCCACCACGATCCTTCCACATTTCTTTACAAAACATAATTTACTTCATGTATATTTTACTTTATATATACTTTATCAGCATTGTTAAAGCTCTTAACTTCTTCTCATCTTTTCAATTGTTCGTCAGCTCCGTAGAAATCATTTAATACTTTCCTTGTCTTTTAATTTAATCAATCGAAAAAAAATTAATAATAATAACTTATCTTTTTTTCTTTCTTACATATCGAAAAAAGTTTTCATAAGGTTATTGATGACAAATCAAGAAATCAATTGTGACATGCTTCTTTTTGCGATGACCATTCGGGCGTCTTAATTTGTTTCTTTACGCTCACAAATAAAATTATTACGTAATTAGCAAAATGTATATGTGTAAATGTGCAAATGTATATTTAACGAAACAATAGCGTCAAAAACCAAATATTCAACATCAACAAATAACCTTTCGCCATATTAATTTCTTTTTCTAATCGTCAGAATCTTATACCTTTTCCAAACTCTTTGTTTTCCTTGAAAATTTTTGCCACTTATTCAAACTGAGGTGCTTTTAGACTTTCTTTTGTTGTTCTTTGATATTGTTTTTATCTTTATCCCAAAATATTGTTACCGAAATCCCAAATCCTGTTCATTCCAGCTAAGCAATAAAATCCCTAAAGAGGGAAAAACCGAAGGTACATTCGCAGCGCGTCATGCAGCTGCCGGCCGAGGAAAACGAGTACCAGAAAAGCAGGTTAACGAATTAAAAATCAAGCTATAAAATTAGGTACTAGTAATATGATGGCAAAAATGTATATAAATAGAATATTTGTGAAAGATAGAATAAGTAGAAAAAGAATATTTAAGTTGAGCAGTTGAAAGTATTGCCAAAAATAAATTGTGAATAATCCTAGATTTAAGGAATATAACTGTAAATAAAAGAAATTTGAAGTGTACTTTTCTTGAACAAAATATCCACGGTCCAGTGATACGGACTGTACCTTAGAAAAGTGAATTTCATAACAATATTTTTATCTTTAATATTTCTCTTTTCACAGTTAAAACGTGCACACATTCCTTCGCTATTTTTCTCTCTCCTTCTTCTTTTTTCTTCTCCTCCTTCATCTCCCTTATCGAAAAACAACCCAAAACAAAAACCAAAAGCTAGGTCAAAATACAATTTCCTGCTGTCAACTGTTTTCCAGCGTGAATCTAAATAATACTGCACTGTTAGCAAACAAAAATTGTTAAGCCAAAAGCACACATTACAGCATATAGAGATTCTGAAGTCTTTTCTAAGTCAATCGGTTCGTCGGCTCATCTGTCTGTTCATATAGGTTCATGTTAAACCTCAGGTCATAGTTTTTGAGATATATTAATGAAATCTGGCACATTGATGTATTTTAACCTAAGGACGAAACCTATTGAAAATAGTTCGGATTGGGCTAGTTTTTTGACCACAATTTCAATTTTTAAAATTTTCCGGCAAAACTCAAGCTGAAAAAACTGAAAAATAAAGCTTTAGCAAGTGAATTAAGTTTGGTAAATTTAGAACACATTATATGATGTTTTGGGCATTCTCTATCTAGGTTTTTCATGAAAATATGCCTTTGCGAGAAAGTAACGTGTAGTTTTTGATATATTGTTACCAAAACGAGCGAATAATGGTACTAAGTGAATTGGTATAGACGAACTGTTGTAAGGCATTTAGCGCTCGGCCTTGCCCGAATATAACGGTCTGACTTATTTATCTTATCACTAGGCAATGAAAAAGCCTATTTGTTTTTTACGTTAATTTTCTTATCGTTATTTTCTATATTTACTTATTTATTGTCCATATCTTTCGTAAATAAATGTACATAGTAGTACAAGTCTATCGCACTTGAAATGTGAACCCGCCACCATTGAATTGTCAGTCAGGATCCTTTCCTTACTCGGCTACCCATGCGGATAATTTTTTTTATATTTATTATTTATGTTTTTAGTGATGTCTTTGCTTTTGGTTCTAAAACCATATGTTTTTGCTTACATTTTCTTATATAATAATTTGGTAGCAGGGCTTCCTATTGTGCTTACTACTTGGAAATTTTTAATACAAAAGTGCGAATAGTCCATTATTACGGAGGTTCCCTTGTTGTGTTTACTTTTTTCAAGCTTGCATGGAAAAGGAGGTAGTTAATATTAGTTTATATAAACTTACTTATGCATAAAATACAGCAGATTCAAAATCAAAGTGATATTAGCGGTTTGTTAATGGGTACGGCGGGCCAAGCGCCTAGTCCACGACAACATATTTTTTAGCATTTGCTTCTTTTGCACGGCAAATTTGTCTTTCCTAACAGTTATCATTTTTCAGAGTATTTCGTGAATTACCAAAATATTTTTCAAATTTTTGTTTTTAGTTTTAGTAAACATATTTTCGAATTTCAAGAAATAACCAACAACTAATAAATAAGATTTGCTATCCAGTTCAAAAATATCCCAAGAAAGTTGGTGAAAAGATAGTTTTGGTATCTCATGTGGCATCATCGGATTGCATTATGCAACTCGATGTATAAAGCATTTGCATATCATATTCTCTATATGTTCATCGTTTCGAGGCCAATAAACTACGCTGTGAGCTCTAGTTTTGGTGCCTTCAAGTGTGGTTATCTGACATATAATTGAACTAACACTTGTTTTTGTGAACTAATAAGTAACTTTTCATTTAAACATAAAAATCCTTCTTCAATGCATATATTTTCTTTATATGGCCCTGAATTTTTGTTCGATTATTCTGTATTTTTTTAAATTTTATTCGTTAATTGAGAGTTTTGTTTAACTTTCAACGTAAATAAAGATTTGTTCTGTGCACTGATATTATCACCGATTTTGGCGAAAACTGATCTACAATAATAAATTTGCATACTTCTATTAATATATTTCTGTTATATATTTATTATATATTTCTCTTTAACATATTTTTGGTTTATAATTATTTTATGTTGGTCATGTCACAGCTGTAGGAAGCGGGATATTGCCTTTTAAAAGCTGCTCACGGAGACAAGGAATGGGTTTTTTGAATTAAGCGAAAATCTCGTTACTTTGTGTGGGAAGTTTGAAAAAATTGAGTCATTGTTCAATGAGTGTCGTTGTCTAGACCACTCGCCTTGTCTCCCTGTCTGTACAAAACCAACTCGTTGTATAGCGAGTGGTACTTCATCTTCGCCTTCGCCTAAATTAAATTCCTTGACTCATGTGAGTGCTGCTAAAACTTGGTTAAACCCCGATTTACATTCGTTAGAACTTTTTCACAATTCTTTCCAGGTCTTCAGAAAGGATCAATAGGATCGTACGTGGGGTTTTAATAGCCATATCTGCTGCAGTTCAAATGCGGATATCTCCATTTATAAGAAACATGCTGCCCCCACTTCTGACGTGGCCGAAAAGTCTAAAATTCCAGCTGTATCGTCCCAACTTCAACATTTGATAGGGCTATTGTAGTTTTCAAGGAATTATTTGATCGCCATTTAGTTGAATACCAGCATACCCCTAACTGTAATGGCGAACTATTTGAACTTTGCTTTGCCACTTTCCCGGAGATAATTACGAATCGTTGTCCACTTTTTAGTTTATCTAAGGATCCGTTTCATCTGTTGAACTACTCTAACGAGTCAAGCGGAACTTTCTCAAATAAACATTATGATTTTAATAAAACCAATATCTTGCTGCTTAAGTCTCATCTTTCAAACGTTACATGCGATTTCTGTGCTGGAAATATTAAAACCGTACTGCCTGTTCTCTATAAGGTATCAAACCAAGCTATTTCTGCATCCTTTCCGATCAAGCGACGTCGCCCTCAAACCAAGTGCCCGCCATGGTTTAACTAGACAATTAAATTTTACAAAAGTAGGAAAAATAAACTTTTCAAATGAAAAATGGTTGTGCTTACGACTATTGTGCGTATTCTGCATCAAGGTATTGATTTAATTACCTCAACTACCAATATTGTTGCAGATACCTTTAACTGGTGAAATCTTCCCTGCTTGTTAGTCCTAGATATTCTTTTAAGTTTGTCAACGTCAAAAGTATCCATATATCTCTCGCATGTTTCTTCCATTGGCTCTGAGTGCTCTGATGCTAATTCCGATTTAACTGTAAACTATCCGTATTCGGTGTCTTACTCGGTTTTGATTCCTAATTTGGTCATTTCAGAACATTATGTTTTAGATGGTCTAAGGTCCCTAAAATATAGTTCTGTACCTGGACCATGTGGGATTATATCATGTATACATAAATCATAATCTGTCGAGCTATGCTGATTTGATCAATGATTTTTCATCAGTCCTTACAATCAGGGCTTTTTTATCTGCTTTATAAAGAGTTGCTTCAGATGAATCCTTATCTTCGTGAGGGGTTTTGTTTGCGGGTTCTTGAGTAACACTTGGCCAATTGTCTACAACCATAGCCAAACCTTTCACTAATTTTTTGTCAAGTATTGGTAGTAAGGTATCTAAAGTAGGGGAAGAGGACGTACAGTGATTATTACAAGTTCTCCGTTTGCAGTGGGCCGTACAGGGTGGTGTATTTAGGGCGTCTTTGAATGGCTGGACTGGTGGCGCTGATTTGCTATAAGATGGACGATATGGGTTGGTATTGCTGGATGGGCATGTGATTGGGGTTTTACTAATCTTGTTAACATGATTGTCGGGTTCCCTTTTGTGCTTTGACGCTGGGGATTTATAGCAATAGTAATCGCCGTGTATGCGGCGGTTTTTTCTTCATTTTTCGTGATTACATGATTTGGGTGTTAGGAAGTGTACTAATGTGGTTTTTTTTGCGCGCGTGATAAAATCAGAACGGCTCATTTGCGATCTCTTTTCATGTTGCCAAAACTGCGACGAAGCTTTGCTTTGGTGGTGTGAAATTTACACTTCTTCCATTATAATCTAGAGAAAAAAGAATCGGTAAGTGTTAAGAATTTTTGTAAACGTTGGTAGTGTATTGCGTAAATGGTGAAAGTAAAAGTTAGGTCCAAAAAATCGGTGGGTATAGACGGAATAACTGGAGACAGGCGAAAGCAATCTGGAAGATTATTCCGGAATATACCCGCACGAGCTATAGTCTATATTTGTCGGAAGATTATTTTACATGTCAATGGAAAATGCCCAATGTTGTAGCTCTGCTAAAGGCGAGGAGTGATCCTTCATGTTATCGTAGCATCAATCATCTCCCTGTCTTTGGCAAAAGTGTTGGAGAGAATGATGGTTGAACCCAATGGTTTTGT